AGGCAAACGAGACCGATTAAGACAAGCGATGGTCATTATTTCGGCAATTAGTTAATTCAATTAACGTAGTCAATCATCTCGAATCCATCGGTAAGTGTTAGTTATTAATTATTATTATTACGTTTTTTCTATCGGAGTCCTCTATCATTATCACTTATTAATGAATGATTTAGTTATATTGCAATATTAATACAACCTATAAAGTCACAGTCTACATTAACTGACTGACTGCTTAACTAATTTTTAATCACAGTTTACTCTAAAAATGTTGATGATAATGATGAAGAAATCTACAGTAGGTAACCTTAATTGCGAGTGTAGCATATCGATTTGATGAATTCACGAAGGATAAAGCCGTTTTTATTTCGCAAATTAGCAAAGTGAAATTCGCCGGAGTTATTTTAATTGTATACGCGTTTCCATTTTAAAAATACCGAATTTTATAACGAAATCATTTCGACGATTCCTCGTACTGCATTCGACGGCTAATGAAGGATACGGACCGGCAAAAAGGACATATTTTACATTCTTCGATGTGAAAGAAAAGGTTTTATTACAAATTGGCTTGTTTCCATTTAATTTACGTTTAGTTAGCCATTAATATAGCCAAGGTAATAGTGTTTTGTATTACTTTTTGTATAGTTAACCAGAAGATAACGAGGTTAATTATTCGTTTATTCTCCGCGCCCAATTTATACCAATAGGATTTTACATCCGTCAGTTGATGAAATTAGATTCAAACTTTTTAGATAAACACAATAAAAATTTTAATTGCCGAGTCACAAAATACCGTAAGCGGGAATAATAACGTCGCGTTACCGAACGTATAAAATAAACTTATAATTAAGTGCGTTCACCTGTTTCTTCTTCTGTTATGGTCAGTTGGAAGAATGCGAGTATTTCATTTTAGGAAGTACTCGTACACGCTGCCTGACGCTCGCCTTATCTGATTAAAATCATTCATTTCCACTGACCTTTGCGTTTAATCTGCCCGAAGGATCGACAATTATTTTAGGGGAAGCACCGTTTTACGCGCGTTTTTGTATGATTTATACGCAATTTATTAGGACTAGTTCGAAGAAAGCGGCTTATCTAAAATTGGAATCAATAGTAGTCTCCAAAATTTCTTCTTCGACTATTGTTTTCGACCAGAAACAACCCTTAATTATCGGTGAAGTTTTGTAACTATTACATTATTGGTCCTGTACAGGGTGTTTCACAACTTATCCGACAAATTTTAACCACATATGCACTGTTACGAGAGAAGTTAATTTCCCAAAAAAATGTAATAAAAGTCTTACAGAAATCGAGATAATAAAATAATAGTTTAACAGTTCATTTATACTTATACAAGATGTTCAAAATTATTCCCATTTACTGCAATGCAAGCTTGGGTTGTTGTTTTTTTTGTTTTAACCATTGTTTTGGTGCAACATTTGCTACAGTAAAGTATTAAGGCAAAATTATGAATGCAAAATGCAGTGTTTATTTTTCATTTTTTTATTGAGACTCGGGTTTATAATTTTATTTCTGTAGGACTTTTATTACATTTTTTTGAGATTTCTCAAAGAGAGAGAAGTTGATTTCTCAAAAAAAATGTAATAAAAGTTCTACAGAAATAAAATTTTAAACCCGAGTTTCAATAAAAAATTGAAAAATAAATACTGCATTTTGCGTTCATAATTTTGCCTTAATACTTTACTGTAGCAAATGTTGCACCAAAACAATGGTTAAAACAAAAAAAACAAGCACCCAAGCTTGCATTGCAGTAAATGGGAACAATTTTGAACATCTTGTATAAGTAATTGAACTGTTAAACTATTATTTTATTATCTCGATTTCTCTAAGACTTTTATTACATTTTTTTTGGGAAATTAACTTCTCTCGTAACAGTGCATATGTGGTTAAAATTTGTCGGATAAGTTGTGAAACACCCTGTATAACTAAATGGAATGATATATTGTTTCTAATTTGGGGTATTAAACAAAATTAAGTTAGACGCGAAGTATAGAAGCATTTTAATTGATAATAAAAATGGCGTGTATGGTCGTAAAAGTGTCCTTTTCCAAAATGCGCATCGAATTTCTCATAATTCTCGTCGTTTTGTGAGGGCCCCGCTTGCATTCCGGAGCGGCTCCGATTTTGCGACCGCGGCCCGAAAAGTCGCTCTCCTCTTTCTCGGCTCCTTTTTTGCAGTCAATCTTTTTAATTAAAATATCTCTGCCGATTGTAATCTAACTCTTTTATTTCCAATCCTGAATATTTTCATAATGAATCCAGTAAATCTATAAGTAAGTTCGGGTTCAAGGCACCTGCACGCATGCATACACACAGCGCTGCTGCATACCTGCTAATTAACCAATATCTCATACGGGGCAATCGCTAATTAGATCGGTTTTTTATTCGACGAGAAGGAGAATAAAAAAAAAACAGATCAAACATTGGAGATTGTTTGGGAGGCGGCCATTAAAATTTAGGACTTCGATTTAAAAGCTTCGGCGTTATGGTGGGCCCGGATTTTTAATGATATTTTTTTTTCTTTTTTATTACAACAATGAAAAGTCTATATCAATGAAATTAAATTACAAATTAAGATGCTCAAATGGTGTAATTTATGAAAAACATATGCAAAATGCAATATATGCTGCATCATTATAGAAAGCTCTTTTATTTAGTTAACACATTAAATATCACTTAACTCATTACAAACACTATCCATATTTTCACTACTTTTTTTTTCTATACTTCAAAAGTACTGTTTAACTAATTTCCTATAAATTGCTTTGCTTATACTTAATAGGAAAAAAAATCATTTGCATGTTTCCTAGCGTTGTATCTTCAACATTCACGATTTCTCTTGCGCTTGTCACAGTTGCTTCACCGATAAATATCCACTTCATTTTCCTGCGGTATCGTTGGCTACAAGACAAGTGACTTAATTTTTAATTGGTCCGGTAAAAGGCATGCAAACGGCCTGTTTCAAAAGTAGCTCGAATTCGTTGTGTGTTTGGATTTCGAACCGTTAATTGAAGTTGAGAGATTGGAAAAACTCGCGTTAGGAATATTAGACGTTGGCGTAATTTAATGGCATCGATTTTTTTTTGGGTGTAAAACGCGGATTGTTTTCGGGTGTTTTATATGTGAGAATCGGCGTGTTGAAATCGACGATTAATTAAGCGAATGTTAATGATTTTGCGTGTCGAATTGACGCTTCGAAAGGAATGCGCCGTTTCTCATTGATAATACGAAAACTGCGGACATTTTCAAATAAACCGGTAATAAGTTCCTATGCAATTAGGATGCATTTTACGTGTGAAATATTCTAAAATAACTGTCAACGTCGCGCGGGACTTGGAAAACGATTTCGAAAAGTCGCAACATATGTTGAGTAATTCCGCATGTAATTTATTATAATCACACACATCACTCCAAGACAAATCTATTCAAATCGTCGAAAAGAAATAATCCCTGACTACTGTACAAGCGTTTCCGTGTCGCATGTAAATTAATTTAACCATCCTATAACTCCGCCTAATTCCAATATAGCGAGAGTCGATACACCACGAAACCATTCTTTTATTCTCCATATTCCTGAATGATTGAACCCTTTCGCTTCGAACGGCTTAAAAACCACAATGAAAAGACGATGGAAAAAACGAGGATAAAAAACGGAGAAAATAACAGAGAAGTTAAAAGACTGTATTCTCCGACCGCGAACGCTATTAAGAGTGGACGCTGCACGCAGGGACGTATCTCAGCATCTCGAATTTTATATGCAAGTATACAGGGTGTCACTTAAATAATGACATTAATTTCAGGGATGATTCCTTGGGTTACCTGATTAATATTTATGGTGAAAATCATTATACTCCACCGTACAGGTGGACCTTCTGCTGCGACGCCACTGGAATTAAAATTCAAAATCTAATTTCGTAACAAGAAGCCTCTTATTATTGCTAACAAACATACTAAGTTTAAGCAAAATAAGCAAATAGAATTTTTAGTAATATATGAAAAACCGATTATTTCATTAAACATTTAACACCCAGTTACTCGGAAACGAAGCAAATTAGGACACAAGTTTATATGAACTTTTCTTCATGAAATATAACAAGGAATCACTCCCTGAAATTAAAGTCATCATTTAAGTAACCCCCTGTATAGATTTTGATGAAAAATTGCACAAATTCTTATTAAAAAAACATAAATATTAAATTCCTAGTTGCAAAATGGTTAAGATGAGTTTCTTAAGTTCGCTTTTTAATGCAATTATTTTGTTAAGAATGTTACTAACAAACTCCCTACACTTTTAGAATCTACTGTATTATCTAATCTATCCAAATACAATTCTGAATATATTTTATTAGTATGTAGAAACATTCCTAAAAATCTTCCACGTTGTTTAAAACACTTTTCACGTATCATTGTCGAGCGTATAATGTACATAAATGTAGTTTATCTTGTATCTCGAAACTGGTGGGTTATTTATCAGTCGTTCGCACAAAAAAAAAATGCGGATCCTTCAACAGGACAAGCATCATTTTTAATTCGACTAACATTTCTAATTACTTAAATTGTTATTAGTTCGTCTGCGGCTCTCAAATTGGGATAAACCGCTCGCATTGTCGCCCCATCAAGGTTAGTTTAATTGCGAACGACATCGAATATGTACCGACAGATGACCGAACAAAAATTAATTTGCATATCCGCGTGTTAGTTTTTTTTTCGTAAAAAAATTCTTGCATCCGATTCGCGTTGCCGAGACTGTTTAGCGCATAAATAATTCGAATTTCTAGGTAAACGGCGCGCTGGAAATTTGTATTCGAGCGCAAAAATTGCGCGACAATAAACGACGAAAATACCGTGCATCTAAGCACGTCCGGCGCGTCCACTAAAATAATACAGAGTCAAAGACTCGAGTCAGAAGTACGGACGAGCATACGCAATGAGGTGAACCGTTTTCCCACGGTGACCGATTCATGGCTCGCCGTGACGTCATTTCACCAAGGCACAAACGCCGAACTCGGGCACCTGCCCAACTTTTTCATCTTCTTCTTCTTCTTGTTGTTCTTCTTGTTCTTATTCTTCTTCTTCTCGACTAGAAAATTGCTCCTCTTTATTTATCGAATTATGAATAATTGGGTTTCATTAACCTTATGTACGGCGTTTACTTCAAGTTTTTCTTACTGTACTTTATTTTTTTCACGACTAAAAATACAGGGTGTCTTATAAGTTGATATTTTTTTAACTGCTTATTGTAGATCTTTTAATTCTATGCAACTTTTTCAAGTAAATTTTTTTAATCTTAGTAGTAGTTAGTATTAGTAGATAGTACAGAGTTGAGAGTTGATTGATTGATTGATTGAAGTTTATTTTACTTCAAGTTTTTCTTACTATACGTAACATACTTTATTTTTTCCACGACTACAAATACAGGGTGTCTCATAAGTTGATATTTTTTTAACTGCTTATTGTAGATCTTTTAATTCTATGCAACTTTTTCAAGTAATTTTTTTTTAATCTTAGTAGTGGTTAGTATTAGTAAATAGTACAGAGTTGAGAGTTGATGGATTGATTGATTGAAGTTTATTTTACTTCGAGTTTTTCTTACTATACGTAACATACTTTATTTTTTCCACGACTACAAATACAGGGTGTCTCATAAGTTGATATTTTTTTTAACTGCTTATTGTAGATCTTTTAATTCTATGCAACTTTTTTAAGTAAATTTTGTTAATCTTTGTAGTAGTTAGTATTAGTAGATAGTACAGAGTTGACAGTTGATTGATTGATTGAAGTTTATTTAGCTTTCTCAGCTATTAATGTTATAAATTTGCAAAAATGATTAACAATTATTAAAAGATTTACATAAATACATGGTGTCTCATAAGTTAATATCTACTTTTTTTTTAGCTGCGTATAGATTTTTTAAATGTAAGCAACTTTTTCAGGTAATTTTTTTAATATTCTGGAAAATAAAAAATATGGAAATTTTTAAATTTCTTTAAATTTCAAATATTTTCCAATACGTACCTGCCATTCCCAGGTATCAAAAAAAAAATAAATAATTAATGACAAAAAATTAATTTTTCGATTGCTAAATTGAAAATGGCTCATATTTATAGAAATAATGAATTAGTTTATGCTGATTATTTATGGAGAGTATTTTCAAAGCGTTTCCAATCAAAATGGCGACAATTTTGAGCAGTTCCTTTAACTTTTAATAAACAGTGCCGAATTAACTAACTTTTTAATAATAAAAAAAACATGCCCTCTTATAATCCAGAATAATTAAAAATGTTACTTGAACAAGTTACTTAGAATTAAAAAATCTAAACGCAGTTAAAAAAAAGTCTCAACTTATGAGACACCCTGTATACTATAGTAAATACTACTAACTTTCAATTTTTTTATATGACATTATTAACATAGCAAAATATTTTTTGTATATTTAGAATTAAATGAACCTTATACAAGAACTGTATATCTCTGCAGGAATCGACTGCGACCGGTGCGATTCGTTTTCTAATTAAATAAAAAAAATCGTAATTACATAAATCAGTATGGTTATTTTACAGATATAAATTTACGTGGAACGTAATGCAATGTAAAATTAATCCATAGGACAAGTAAATCTTTCTAAATCACCGGGGTTCCCAGGTGGAATTAATAACTTTTGCCGTAATAGCATGAAATATGGCGGCGGTAATTTCGTACGACTCTTATGAATTCCAGCAATTAATAATTTTAGATATTTTTCTGATCATTAAATTACTATTTGCGTTTTATTGTGAAATTCTAATCATTATTATTGTTTTTTTTTGTGAGTATTAAATCGAAATATAAGTAATTAGAGAGGCAATTAGTTAACGAAAAATCCCTAAAATGATAACAATTGACGAAAAGATAATATTTTTGCATTTATTACCCACTATTATTTCAACATTCATTATTTATTTCTCTGTCCATAATCAAACCAATTAATTCTACTTTATTTGCTATACATTTTTACTTCGTAATTTTTTAATGACCCTTTCTGGAGCAAAACTAACACTACAATCTCACCTCTTTAATTTTTAAATAAATTACATTTACAGCAATAAATTACCGATTGAATATATTAATTAACATGCATCGTTTATAATAATTTAATTTACCTATACAGTGCTCTCGTAATTTTCGCATTAAATTCAAAATGCTAGAACATGTGCGAATAAACACGCATTCATTTCCTCGTATTTTTTATACCCTCTAACACCGTCGGCTACGTTACATTTTCAAGGAATTGTTCGTAATTATATATTCGGTAAATGCTGCCGCTGTCGGCGTAACGGAATGAAAAAACTGGCCTTTTATGTATGCACTTTTTACTAACCAGAGGCGTAGAGATGTATCAGCTGATAACTAATAATTAGTAGATTATAATTACAACGGGCAATTTAATTCGTTGATGGTTTTTGTTGATTTAATTGTATTTCTACGCTTTATAATTGTTAGCGAAATAGTAGATATACTTTTTTAATAGGTTATATACAGTGTGTTTCTATATAGAAATACCTAGTAAATATGGGACATCTAGTAAAGAGTGCGAATATTAGATTTGTTTGCGCTACTGATCTACTATTACTTAATTACAAACATTTATCAGTCCGGACTATTTATTAGCAATCGAAGTAATACCCACTTGTTATAATTATATCGCGAATATGTAACGCGTGTAACGAATTATTACCATTGGCGAATTTTATAACGCAAACTGTTTCTACAACGATCGGCCCACGTATACGAATCGTAAAATTTTTATCTGAAGAATATCCTTATAAACATTCTGCTTCCTCCCTAGATAAATTTTTATACAACACAGCTGTATACGCGAGAGAGACACGCCACCGAAATATTTTAAATCTGTCATCGAATTGAGCGAGATAAGCAGACCTTTAAAAGCCATTCATAATTACCATTAGGTAGTGTAGTTTATTTAAAATACAAAGCTGTTGTATTCAGGGTAAAGTCGCTAAATATTTTAAGAAGTTTTGTCTCTTTAAAATGTAGGAAATAATCGAAGCAAACTGTAAAACGCGTGTCGTTGCAACAACAACAAACGAGATTAAAATAGATGACAAAATAACTGGACGGACTCATACAAAATCAATTCCTGACGCATATAATTCTGCCCATAGATGGAAACCAGTTTAGCGAAAAGGAAACCAAAGCCTTTATAGCCGATTAAATCCGAACTAATTTATTCTAAAACCGGATTGGACTTCCGAATGAAACGGCTAGATACGGGAATAACGATACTCTTAAATCTGGGCGAATGTGTTGAGAGCGATTCTGCTCTAATACGTAACTGGAATACCTCGTCGATCTTTGTCTTTTCCTTAATGACATTAATAAATATACCCGACTGAAAATTCTTTAATTAAAATTAACAATCTATTGTATTCACGCAGATTTATGCATCCACCTAAATTCGTTTCACCACCCTGCTCATATATTTATACAGTGTTAGAAAATTTTTCGCGCATAATAGGGAAATCAATGTTAAATTCTTAGCCGGCTGAAATCCAATCTACCAGTGTACATTTCAATAGAACGTCGCGATCAATTCTAATAAATTTAATTGTTTTACTGGACTTCACACCGCGATTGGCTTGGTTAGATTAAAAATCAAATAATTTCGACGGTTTTGACACTTCGACAGTATCAAAACGGGTTCGGATGGGTGAACGTCGAGTCGATTAAAAAGAAATGAGAATTTTTAAACGATAATTTATTGAAAAAATATCACTAATATTAAAATAGAATTATGTAGATATGTCTTTTTGCCACAATGGCTTGAAAAAGAAAGTAAATTCTAAGAAAATAATAAAAAGGAAACTCCAAAAACAAACTTAAAGATTATTTTAAAACAGAAAATAAAAGAACTCTAAAAAATATTTTACCGCTTTCTGCTAAACAATAGCCAAACCTGTCATACAGATGTCATCCCATTCAGTAGAACAATTAAATTTATTAGAATTCATCGCGACGTTCTATTGAAATGTATACTGGTAGACTGGATTTCAGCCGGCTAAGAATTTAACATTGATTTCCCTATTATGCGCGAAATATTTTCTAACAGTGTATGTATAAACGTTCATATTCAAAAGTGCATTAAAAACAAAAAAAAAACTCACCGTCCATCGAAAGGTAAAAGGCAACTCGAGCTTCCCCCTATCGGGATCGGCGAGCGTGAAGGAATCCCTGCCGATGACGTGGCTGGACGTGTTGCCGAAGGAGCAGAGGCCGTTGTTGGTGACGTTGCTTTGGTACTCCTTCAGGCAGAGCATGAAGAACGTCTGACAGGAGACGGAGCACCGATTGGTGACGGGCGAGCGGCCGCCGCCGCCGCAACATTCGCCGTTCGACAGTTCACCGCGAGGATTCGACATTTCCAGGACTTGCAGCTCGAACACGCCGGAGCCATGGGTACACTGCAAACGATAATTCGGGCATATGATGAATTCATGTTCGAGACAAATTCGACGACAGTATTCAATTCATAGTGTTACTACAACTATTGGATAGACAAATGACTCTCTGTGAGTATTATACATCATCATCATCGACAATGACTCTATTGGATACCTGAATGATTTTTAGTTAGGAAATGGTCTCATTCTTTGAATTTCTAACGAACATATTCCTAAATAGATAATAAACTAACTTAAATTCATGAGATATACTCCTGAGTAGATAAATACGGACTCTCTTAGGTAGACATATGACTCTTCAATGACTCTTCAATGACTCTATTGGATACTTAAATGATTCTTTAATGGAACTGTTTCATTATTCTTACAATTTCGAATACGCAAATAATATGATTATTAAATAGATGATTAAAAACTAAATTAAATTCATAAGTTACTACTCCGGGAGAGATAATAAATGTGGACTATTTGACACTCCTAGATAAAGAAATAATTCTTTTAGATAGAGAAATGAATCTCCTAGATTAAAAAAATTACTCTGATACATTCATGATGGCACTTTTAGATATAGAGAAACAACTCTCTTAGATAGAGACAGGGCACTCTAGAAACAGATAATGAAAAGGCTCTCTTAGATAGACAAATGACTCTCTATGAGTATTATACAACATCATCATCATCATCATCATTATCAATGACTCTATTGGATACTTGAATGATTTTTAGTTAAAAAATAGTCTCATTCTTTGAATTTCTAACGAACAAATAATTCCTAAATAGATAATAAACTATCTTAAATTCATGAGTTATACTCCTGAGTAGATGGACTCTCTTAGGTAGACATATGACTCTTCAAAATAAATCAATGACTCTATTGGATATATAAACGATTCTTTAATGGAACTGTTTCATTATTCTTACATTTTCGAATACACAAATATTATGATTCTTGAATAGATGATTAAAAACTAAATTAGATTCATAAGTTATACTTCTGGTGAGATAATAAATGTGGAGTATTTGACACTCCTAGATAAAGAAATAATTCTTTTAGATAGAGAAATGAATCTCTTAGATAAAAAAATGACTCTTTTAGATACATTCATGATGGCACTTTTAGATATAGAGAAACAACTCTCTTAGATAGAGACAGGGCACTCTAGAAACAGATAATGAAAAGGCTCGTCTACAAATGACTCTCAATGAGTATTATACATCATCATCATCATCATCATCATTATTATTATCAATGACTCTATTGGATACTTGAATAATTTTTAGTTAAGAAATGATCTCGTTCTTTGAATTTCTAACAAACATATTCCTAAATAGATAATAAACTAACTTAAATTCATGAGATATACTCCTGAGTAGATAAATACGGACTCTCTTAGCTAGACATATGACTCTTCAATGGAACTGTTTCATTATTCTTACAATTTCGAATACACAAATAATATGATTCTTGAATAGATGATTAAAACTAAATTAGATTCATAAGTTATACTTCTGGTGAGATAATAAATGTGGACTATTTGACACTCTTAGATAAAGAAATAATTCTTCTAGATAGAGAAATGAATCTCCTAGATAAAGGAATGAATCTCATAGATAGAAAAATGACTTTTAGATACAGTGGCACTCTTAAATATAGAGAAACGACTCTCTTAGATAGAGAAATGACTCTCTTAGATATGTCTATGACGCTTTTAAATTCTTCAATTGTCTCGCCATTCTTTTCATTTCCAATAAAATTCCTCTATAATTCTATTATTTTTTTGTGCATAGCTCAGAAGTTGTTTGAAAAATGGTATAGAGAACAACACCCTCGTAAATAGTGTAATAGTTTTTCAATCGGTCCGATGATCGTTCGTTTTTCTTAGCTATAGTGGTACAAGGTAACGCTGCAACAATGTATGGGATTAAATAAATTGAATCACGTAAAACGAGTTATTAACTGTCGTTACGGTTTTTCATCGAGATCGATTCGTTCCAGATAATTCGGCGGAAAAATGGTGCGCTTTTTGTGTGGAGATTATAGAGAATCCGGTAGCTCAAAACGAATTTGAACTTTTTTTCACGATTAATGGAGCCTTTGTAAAAGTAGAAATAGTTACGTTTAATAGATAGAGTTCTAAACAACATCTTGTATTAGTTTGACTTGAGTCTCTATACAGTTTACTAAATAGAGAGGAATATTTTAGCCGAAAAAAAAGTGGATACGCAATCAAAACTTCATCTTTTCTGCACATGACAAGTAATTGAATTTCTGTCTTTTCATATCTCCATATCTTCCAAGTCGACTGGTTTCTTTTTAGTAGGTATTTCCTGAACAGTCGCGTCTCCGTCATACAAATCAACCTGTACTCTCTTGACAAACATTCCATGGAAATAGAATAAGGAAGATTTCTTCTTTATCTACACGTCGCATCTCATGAATCCATTGTCTTTACTCCCAATGAATTAATATCTACATTCTTCATGTCAACTGGCTGTTTTCAATGAATTACTCAGTACATCGAGGCCGGCCGTTAAGTTGATTTCGAAAAACGATTAGCATTAGAATTCGAAAGGTTTAATTCGTGTTTCCTAACCCCAACTACGCTTTTCCAAAGAATCAGTTCGATAATTATTACCTAATTAGTATTTTTTAAGTTCATACATTTATACCTGCTCGAATGTTGTTTTTAAAACCGACAACATATAAAGAAAATAATCGTAATTTCATTACCTCGTACGCACACATAGATGAAGTATTCGAAAAATATTTGAACAAGAAATAATTTCCTCATTGGTGTATTGATTCAATATTTATTTTAAGTCCAGTTTAAAATCTGACAAACACAGCTGTATATCGCAAGTGAAGAAAATAACGAGAGGCTTGTGGACATTACTGACAAAACTAATAGAAGTCAAATAACGACAAGTCCATGTTCGAAAATAAAACGAAATTTTTTATTATATCGAGAGCGTAGGATATTAGGTAAACAAACAATTCGTTTGTACATCGTTTATTAGAAATACCAATTAAATCATTTAATATAGGCTAGATAAGGAGAAGATTTTTTGAGGTGAAAAACATTGAAAACGTGAAAGAATAAATTCTGAGAGGTTTTAGGGACTTGAAGTCGTGAATAACCGAAGTTCTAGTAACACTAATAACAATTACTCACTGGGTGAATAGGAGAATAAGATATTAATTTCAACCAAAACTGATACACCCGAGTGTAACGTTACACATTAACACTCGGGTTTTGTGTTTCAAGAATGCAAGTATTATGCTTCTCGCAGGTTGATACCCTGCAAATAAATTTTTTTCAGGTGTGCACGTTTCCCTTTTGACGACGGAAGCGCGGTTTTCCTGCGGGCCACCCAATATACGGCATCTTTTCCCGGATAAAAAGAAATGTTTATTTCCACAAAAATTATATAAGGAGACTTTATAGTAAAACAGGAAGTTCGGGGGTTGTAGAATTACAGAAAAATATAATATCAATTTGAGATCAGATTGAACACTAACAGTTACACGAGCTATAGGAACGTACAAGTAGGTTTTTGCAGGGAACGAAATAATTAATTGAGGAACCGATAATAACAACGTTATTTCCATATAGGCGAATTATAATCTCTTATTATAATCGCGACCGTTTACCGCGGACGGTTAGCGCTAATTAGCGAATTAATGCGTTAAGCTCTCGTCTTAAGTACTCTCATTATTCAGCGAATAATTAGTTTCGAATCGGAAAAAAGCCGAAACTTAAGTGGAATGGTTTTCTTTTGGTTCGTTTCGCGGCGGCGCGACCGCAAATCGAAAACCGAACCAAAAAAGTACGAATTTCGAAACCGCTCTTAAATACAAAAAAAATAAACTGTATCGGCCCATTGTGGGGCTATTACTTTTTCATGGCTTTGAAAACGATTGGTCGCGTTTAGATGTTTAGGTGAAAAAAAGTAATCGATTCCGTTAATGCCTTGATTAATATCGATGGTATTTTAATAAATTATTGTAGATATATTTTATGTAGTTTGAATTATTTATTAACGATTAATAAAATTAATTTAGTATGGTGTAATAAAAAATTAGAATATTAACGAACTTTTAACTTTGCATAATACAAAATAATAATTTAAATTTGTATTTGACCATGCACCCTTTATAATCACGCAATATATTTTATTTATTCTTCTATTGTGTTATTATTAATGTTGCGTCTATTTTTAATTTATACATTTAATACATTTTTAAGGATCCCGAATCTCATGACCTATGCACGTTATAACAGTTAAGTTTTCTTTATTTTTTCCGTTTTTAAAGTGCGTTGATGATACGATTTCCGCTTGTTTTCGTAGATATAATAGACTATATATTTTTAAAAAAAGGGAATAATCAGCGGTAACAATCTTCACAGCATTAAATTTTCTAAATTTTTATAAACGGGCGCTGCTTAGCCGAACAAAGGCCATTTCTCACACGGCCTACTGTGAGGAAGAATTACCATATTAAACTGGTCGATTCATATAATAAAACAATTATATTTAATTAGCATCAGAAATATTACCTACTTAAATGACGTTTTAGAAATTATTAGGTTTTTGTACATAATCTTATAAAAAATAATAATTAGCAAAATAAAATAATGTTAATCATTTAGATGTAAAATAGATAACATCAGTTCTCCAACAGAAAAAAAAACCTGTCATAATTTCAAGTTGTTAAGATCAAACAACGAATCACAATTAAAATCATTCCGTAGCGACTTTCGAGGTTCATATGGGAATACCTGCATAACCATATTGTAATGAAAACCGATCGAAACGATACAGTATTAATCGTTTATCCATTATATGGTTATTTAGTGGACGGCATGCCATTGTTCGGGTTTTAATAAACGTAAATTCGTCAGTAACTACAATACATTCGAACGGGCTCTCTTCTCGACGCATTAATTTTTTTTTCACGTTTCTCGAATTCGTCGACGTCGTTACGATGACTTCGTGTTCATTGAAATTGAAGGAAACAATAATGTCGTTTACTTAATTTTATCGATAAAACATATCTCGCTTTCGTCGACGTGTATCTATTAACAATCATTTTTTTTCCTACGGTTGCTTTATGTTCACCGTGAATTTGATATTGAACTTGTGTAATTACAAAGACAATTATCGGATATTAATAAGTTAGTAATTTGTGGTTAGTTTATACTAGAGAAAACCCGAACGGAGGGATTATAGAACTTTTATTTACAGCCAAGTATTCTTTCAAGTAGCAAATATTCTCTTTATTCAATATTAATAATTGTAATAATTAGAATTTTCCATCCTACCCTACTCTATTCTACTCCGAATCTACTCCGAATCTACTAAAAAATCGGCTTTACTGCAGCCCAATGTTCTTTTAGAAGCGTTTGTATTGAGTTAGTAAATTTTGGTGGTTAATTTTGTGGTAAATTTTGGTAAATTTAAACATAATTTTCGCGAGAAGATGCAATTCGAGTTCAATGTACGAAAACCGAACGATCAAATTTTTGACATGAATCTTTCATGGAGTAGAAGATCGGTTATTTACAGCCAAGTATTCTTTCAAGTAGCCCATATTCTCTTTATTCAATATTAATAATTATAATAATTAGAATTTTCCATCCTACCCTACTCTATTCTACTCCGAATCTACTCCGAATCTACTAAAAAATCGGCTTTACTGCAGCCCAATGTTCTTTTAGAAGCGTTTGTATTGAGTTAGTAAATTTTGATGGTTAATTTTGTGGTAAATTTTGGTAAATTTAAACATAATTTTCGCGAGAAGATGCAATTCGAGTTCAATGTACGAAAACTGAACGATCAAATTTTTGACATGAATCTTTCATGGAGTAGAAGATCGGTTATTTACAGCCAAGTATTCTTTCAAGTAGCCCATATTCTCTTTATTCAATATTAATAATTGTAATAATTATCCTACCCTACTCTATTCTACTCCGAATCTACTCCGAATCTACTAAAAAATCGGCTTTACTGCAGCCCAATGTTCTTTTAGAAGCGTTTGTATTGAGTTAGTAAATTTTGGTGGTTAATTTTGTGGTAAATTTTGGTAAATTTAAACATAATTTTCGCGAGAAGATGCAAATCAAGTTCAATGTACGAGAACCGAACGATCAAATTTTTGACATGAATCTTTCATGGAGTAGAAGATCGGTTATTTACAGCCAAGTATTCTTTCAAGTAGCCCATATTCTCTTTATTCAATATTAATAATTATATTAATTATAATTTTCCATCCTACCCTACTCTATTCTACTCCGAATCTACTAAAAAATCGGCTTTACTGCAGCCCAATGTTCTTTTAGAAGCGTTTGTATTCAGTTAGTAAATTTTGGCGGTTAATTTTGTGGTAAATTTTGGTAAATTTAAACATAATTTTCGCGAGAAGATGCAATTCGAGTTCAATGTACGAAAACCGAACGATCAAATTTTTGACATGAATCTTTCATGGAGTAGAAGATCGGTTATGGGTATAGACCCGCGATTAGGTATGCAAAATAGGTAGAGCACATGAAGGTAATACTTCAACGAACAAAATACCTTTTAAATAATACGTTCTGGCACAAGAATGGCCGGTTTTGGTATCATTTGGGTACGCTACCGTCCGCAGTAAAATCGAGACCGTACTCGTATCATTAAATTCGATTTAACTACGAGTTCTACTTATGTACAGTTAATACTTCGGCTATCATTATTTCGTTATTCTATGTACTTATTAAGTGTGTGCTACCTTCGATGTTTCCGACGAAATATTCTTTTTCCGTTATTAAATTTTTCAAAACTTCGAGAACGGTGCACGTTTTTAAAATTACATTACACGAAATGGCTTTATTGTTATCGCATGTGAAATTATTAAATTACGCCCGGTGAATAAATGGCTTTTGCTATATCATTTAATAAATTCATTAATTTCAAATTTAGGTCTATATACACCCTAAGGGAATTCTTATTTGGTAGTAATAAAAACTTAACTTTACCTACAGAATATTACCCAATTAAATGTATAAAAGCATGCACATAAAAAAACCACAATATGCACATATCATTAGCATATCGAAATCGCAGTGTGTGTGTTATTTTGTCATCCTGGTGAATTGAAAATTGTTTTTAAAACGCCCGTATTTAGTTTTGGAGCGAAGTAAACGCGTTGCAATCTCGACGATCTTATAAATATTTACCCAACAGCTTCCAAAAGCTCCCCTTTCGCCTTTGTTGTAATAACCTTTGAAGAAACCTGTAGGCCGTAGGGCCATGCCACTTAAGGACTACCGAAGATATTCGAAACATAGATAAACATCTTCCGAAAAAAACGGCCGTGCATCGATCGATGAGACGCGCACAAGAAAAAAACATTTATCAACTCAAACTGTTAAATTCATAACTCATGTTAGGTATGTGCGCTCATTATAAATTCACTTGTCGTTCGGGATGCGCTACGAGATAAGCCCTTTCAGCGGTAATTCAAGCCCGCAAATAAATCTTTTGCAATGCGAATTATAGGAGAATTTTACGCGTGTAAGGTGCATTATAAAATTCGCAAGAAAATACTATTGTGATTTATTTGTTTCAATGTAGGTAATGTTTTCGATGTTTGTTATTTAAGTGGGAAACAACTCAAGGAGAGTGTCTAAAAATGGTTGGGAGGATTTTTATGAGGGATTGCAGCAATTTGCAATTTCAAAATTGTTTGAAACAGTGAGATATTTAAAAATAAACTGCTCCACAAAAGTTAAGGAAGTTCGCAAATTTTGCGATTATTTTAAAAGTTACAGATTTTTTGTTCACCAAATTTTCAAATATGCGAAATTAAATGTTTTCTCTCATATCCGAGTGGATTTTTTGTCCATATACATCTACAACTCATACTAAATTTGGCGATCAAAAAACCTGTAATTTTTAAATTAATCTCAATATTTGTGAACTTCCTTAATTTTTGTGGAGCAGTATATATTGAAGTAGATTTTGCTTATTCGCAAAATTATCAGCATTTTTTCGGGATATAATTTATATATTTTTTTATTACTACGATCATTTATTTATAATTTATTAATAGTTAAATTAATTAGTTAATTAATTTATTATTTCCCTAATTATATTAACAAATAATAGATATATCTATGTGTTAAGGTTCTCTTTAGCGCCATTTAAATTAACAAAAAAAAATAACCTAAAAATAATCTTTTGTACAAGATGTATTAAGAGCGCACCGGAGCTTTCGCGCAACCAAATTTCAATCTTATTTTCAACCCTTATAATAATATACAAATTTCGGGGCACAAGCTACTGGTTCTAAATGCATCACAGTAATATAATAATAGTAGTTGAACCGAAAACATAAAAATTCGCGATGGTAGCATATTACAAGAGTTTAAAAGAAAAAGGTGGGAAAGCTTCCCATTTAAAATATACGAAACAATTTTAAAATATAACACCGACAAAATTATTTAAATAATCTATAGAATTGTGCTGACTCTTTTTTTTACTAAAATCTCAAAAAAATTAAAAATTATATTGAAAATAAAAGTTTCACAAAAATTTTAAGGAGTCTGCGGAAAACAATAATTATTTTTAAGTAACTACCCAAAATTTCATAAAAATCGCATAAAAACTAACGATTCTAGAAGTAAAATCAATTTTATAGGTATCCGGTATACACTCTTAAAATAAAAATAAAAAAAAAAATGAATGGAAATATATACCTGAAGGAGCGCCAAAAGTAAAAGAAAAAATTGCAACAAATATCCATGTGTCATGGTCCTACACAGCAACCGCCACATTACACTGCACATCATCACCGGGCGGTAAGTCGAGGCGTCGCAACGTCGACGTCGGCATCTGATTTTCATTCGCGAAAAAAAATATATTACCGGAACGCGCGCGCCGTACGCATACACGCATCGGATTCACCGGGACCCGATGGAAAACCAACCAACCAAAAAAAAAAAGAAGAAAATAGTGGAAACGGCCCAAAAGCGGTGCGTTTCTCTGCGGGTATATATATTATATCGTATACTCTTTGTCTTCGGAGCCTCGCTCGACGTTCGACAGACTACTGAAGGTGCGCTCCGCCGGGAGGCACGACGGGCCCCTCTCCGCCTCTGGCACATCGCACAGCATCCATTGCGGACCAATGGGAGCGACGCTGCAGGGCTTCTTTGTGCCCGATGCCTGGATTGCTGGTGGGCAACCACTTGTTGCGTGCCGATGAGATCCGTTCTCAACCAAGTCGAAGAGCGCCGAAGAAGTTCAACCGAGTATATGTGTATACGGTGTGTCCCCGTAAAATCGGGGTTAAGATCGCAGCGCCATGGTGGTGACAGCTGAAAGCTAGCTAAGTACCATTTAACTGTTGTTTACGTTTGTGGTGTATAATAAAATCGGCCTGTTTTTAGATATTTTTTAAGTAAAATTTGTATTTTTATAGCAGATTTCGATTATTAAAGACATTTATAACATTATTAGTCTTTTGTGGATAGTTGATAGTGTCAGGTTAGCGACAAAATAAATTGTAGAAACCATAACCCCTTTTAAAAAATACTTTTTATTTTTAGAAACAAAGCTTTTAATTAAAAATTAAATAATTCATATACATTTAGTAATGCTTCTACCATAGACCTATTAAGTATGGACGCGGCACTATCGTTATTTTGAGGTTATTCAGCGTTCCCAATGATAGAGAGAGAGGTCCGTGAGAGATGGAGCTAGTTTGGGCTAAAAGTAGGCGGGACCAAAAAATATATAAAATATATACAGGGTGTGTGGAAAAAGGCGATTAATCTGTTAAATTATTTATACGCTTAATATTTAAATATTGTTTTTATCTTGGTATCCACTTGGACAGAAGAATGACCTGGAAGAAACATATTTTTTACAAGAGAAAGCAGTTAGGTCTTAAATTGCGAAATCTGTACTGGCTGGAGGTTCCAAATAAAAATACAAAATAAGAACTGTATTTGCAAATGCGTGGGAATTTAGGCTCAGCTGAAAAATGCATTTTGCTCGACAAAAAAATAATAAATCACAATACCCTCCGCTGCACTCCTCAACTCTATTCTACCATAAGCTACCCTCCTCTACCCCAGCTATCTTGCATATCTGAAAACGTAACTCACGTGGTCTTTTGCTTTCTTACTATTGGCTAATGCATTGTCCAATCTCTCATTGCCATATGCCCAAACTAGCTGCATCTCTCTCATTCATCGACAACACTACCTCTTTGTCTAAACCGCGTCCATAGTTAATAGGTCTATGGCTTCTACAGTTTTTGACGCTGTCAGAACACAAAATTTGACGTTATTGGCGCATGCGCGTTAACCCGCTCCGAATTAGTAAACTTTACCAGTTTCAGGTTTTTTGATCGCCAAATTTAGTATGATTTGTAGAGGTAGGGGCAAAAAATCCACTTAGATATGAGAGAAAACATTTAATTTTGCATATTTGAAAATTTGGTGATCAACAAGTCTGTAACTTTTAAAATAATCGCAAAATTTGCGAACTTCTTTAACTTTTGTGGAGCAGTTTAAATGTCATAGTCCACGCGCAAATGTTACAATGTGATTTATTTACATAAAATTAAAAAAAAAATACAAATCCATTATGATTTATTTATTAACTGTAAATATGAATATGCAGTAGATAACATATTCATCATTTTGATCAAATTTTGATCAACCTTAAAGGTTCTTTCTCCTTTCCCAAGGAAAGTCGAGGATTAATTACATTATTCTATTTATTATGTCAAAATAAAGTAAACAAAATCTGCAGTTCATTGATTAAAAAATTTATTTAAATGAAAACAACCAAGCTCACAGACTAAACACAGCTGAGACTGACCGCGTGGTTTTAAGTGAAAAACTACTTATTTCTTATATTACTTAACTTTATTATTTTTCCAGCAATTTTTTAGCCTATTTAGTTGTTTCAAAAATTGCCGCATGGCGGAGCCACAATGAAAATCACTTTTTTGTTTATTTCGATTTTGCTAAATTTTAACAAAGTCGACTTGCACTTACTGTAACTTTGACGTTAATTGGTTAATTTCGAATGTCAATCAAATTGAAAAAGTGGTTGTAATTTAAAAAAATTCTGATTTGCATTGTGGCTCCGCCATGCGGCAATTTTTAGAACAACTAAATTGGCTAAAAAATTGCTAGAAAAATAATAAAATTGACCTGTTTCTGCGTTTAAAAAAAACACCGCCGTTTTCAAGATAATCGCATGTTCCGGGATTTTATACGGACACACTGTATATACACTGCCGGTGAATTGTCTTGAATTTAGTGCGTTTATTACCTATTGGTTTTTTTTTGTTTTTTTCGTTTTTCTCGTTTTGTTGCGGTTTAAAGTGGTTGATGTTCGGGATCGGGTTCGGTCACGAAGTTCCTAGACCGGAATTGATTTTACTTTATGGAAATTATCTACCGATAAAAACTCTTTTTCATCATCATTTTATGCAATTATATTCCTATACAGTACTCGCTAGCTGTCTATATGAAAGCACTACAGAAACGAATCTAGCACCTTTCTAATAAAAATACTATTTATGCCTGAAGTGCAATTATTACAATCTAACGCTGCTCTTATCACAATCACAATCATGATCATATTAAATTTTTCCTGAATCCTCCACCAAAATTGCAAATATACTACCTATACATTTTTTAACATTACCTTAAAAAGTTATGATTATTCGACATACAAATTTGTGGAATAATTATTTTACGAACATGAGTATACATTAAACATTAAACATTAGTAAATTAAACATTATCATTTCTCACATTATCTATCGCAGTATTTCCTTCCAGATAACGAATATCACCAACTGTATTAAAGAGCCAACAACACAATTGATTGTGTAGGTATTACTTTAGTTTCGATTAAATTTGGTTTACATTTAATATTTCCTATAATACACCGGCATATTTAAAGGAACTTATACATATATAAAATCTAAGTATTTTTCTTTATGACTATTGTTAATATTTCTAACATAATCACTTTGCACAAAGTTGGGTAAAGTAATTGGAACTATTCTCACAAAAATGTATCCTGTACAACCTGTTGAAAAAGAGAACAAATCGAAGATGTCAGATTAAAAATAAAATACTGGTTTTAATCTGTTCCTTTAAATTAGCCGGTGTGTGTATATAAAAATATCCATCCATGACGTCATCGACATATCAGCCTGAACGTACTATACCAACAATTTGCATGGCACATTCGAAAAAGACGAGAGAAAAAAAAAAACAAC